AACAGCATTTTAAATATTGATTATCTGATATGAATTGTATACCTGATGTCTGAAGTGTGGCTGAATAAAAATTTCCTCTTCACATCTGACCTGTTTGATCCATTTATATTGGTGAGGACAGACTAAATGAGAAACTGCTGTCAGTGTAATCCAGTACAGTTCAACAGCACCACAATCTACAACTCAACACTTCAATAAAATGTCAGACTTAATACAATATTAAACTGCTGTTGTTTTTTCTAGGTGTACCGAGTAAACTGTCAAGTCTCCATAAAAATGTAGACAGAAAGCATAATGGTGAGACAAATGCAGTGATGGACAGTAACTAAGTATATTTACTCAAGTAGCTACTGTACTTAAGTATAAATTTGATGTACTTTGGGTATTTCCATTTACTTAGAGGGAAATACTGTACATTCTACTCAAGCTACATTTATTTGATAGCTATAGTTACTTTTCAGATAGTTTGTTTTATGTGTTGTTGTTTCATATTTACAAGTTGCTGTGTGTTGTTATAGATTAGACTAGTACACCAGTGAAAGGTGTTAAAATTAGTTCTACCATGACAACATTTAAATGCTGCTCACATGTAGCCGACGTTGATCAATTAATACTCAATACATATTCATGTATATGATGATCACAGCACTTGAAATTGGGTCACTCTGCATCATGAGTATACTTTGAACTTTTCATATAGGCCTACATTTTGCTGACAATACCCAGATACTTTTACTCAAGTCAGATTTGGTATGCAGCACTTTTACTTGTGACTGAGTTTTTGTTCTTTGTTGTGATATTCCTGGGTACTTTGTCCACAACTGGACAAACATGTCGAACAGACATGCAAGCATCGCACGTCTCATCCTCATCCTCATTCTCCGCTTCATTCTCTGCCTCATTCTCCACTGTCTTCCTGAGATCTGCCTCCTCAACTGGGCAGCCTCCTCCTCAGCCTGCAGGTACAGCAGTCCTGCTGCAGTAATTGCGCCAAGACGCCTTCTCCGATCCGTTATTGATTTTTGATTTCCATCTCGCCAATGCTCACGATCACAATAACCACCAACTCTCCACAACCCCCTCCCCGCACTTGACTTTTCATTATAATCAGAAGCCAGCTGTGGGGAAAAGGTTTTAAAATAAATTTTATGAAAATATTTTGGCTATTTATATGTTTTAGTATGTCAGTTATATATGCTGAAACGTTAAAAACATATACATATTAATTTCTTACAATGACAAAGAAAAGCCGCAGGGCTGTGTTTATATTGTTTTATTCTAAATGCATGTAGGCTACACAACACAGTACAACAGCCGAGGCGAGCGGAGGTGGTGACATCATCAAGTACGCTGCTGTTCCAAAAGCAGAAATGACTGTACTCCCGTCCACCCGTTCTTGGGAAGACTCTCGCGTTGACTTGCCTAGTCCACAAGTCCGAACTGCCGAACTTGAGTATGTCTTGAACGGCTTGGGTGGTGGTTGTGACGCGTCTTTATCATCTGATCTGTCAATCAGCCGATAACTGTCTCAGGGGTACCCAAACTTTTGCATGCAGCTGTATATGATGACCAAATGTTTTATATTTTAATCTTTAAAAGTGCAGATAGTGCCTGTGAAAATGTGATAAGTAGCATACAATGGAAACGCTACAGTATTTGAGTAAATGTGATCAGTTGTATTTCATCACTGCTTTTTGTTACAGCATACCTTTGACAAATAAGCAAACCTCTAGTGCGCACTCATGGTGACACATCAATTATGTGATTTGCTGGCTGAGAACGGTCATTGATGACAATTTTGATATAAGTTCAAAGGTAAAAACTCCAAAATTTTCAGTTATAACTTTTCAAAAGTAACGATGTATGTCTTTTCTGTTACTTGTATCAAAGTGAAATGTGTGTTTCACATACAGATAAATCAGAGGTCATAGACACACTAGGCGTGCTGCCAAAATCAAGCAGCTGAAATAAAGCTAAAACATACTTCTTAGACAGAGAGGAGATTTCAGTAAATTAAACTACAACCTGTTCCCCTGGTGCTTGTAAGAGAGACAGACTGTAAACTCATCATGTTGGAGCTTTTACTGAGGATTATGCACATTAAGCTTCTTCTCAGAATATAATTCTGGTAGTTTAAAGTGACTGTGTTTGCGAGGATCTTGTTGCCACTCCTTAATATTTTACAACTGGTAATACAAGTTGAATTAAAACAGGAACCTGGATAGGTGTGTAAACAGAGAGAGTTCCTGCTCAATCATCATTGGGTTATTGAAACACACAACAAACAGAGACAGCAAAAAACAAAGCTCTCTGTGTGACATCAGTCTAAAGTAACCCCCACATGTCTAAAGGGGAATACATAATATAGTGAATCAATTACAAATAAATATTTTTTTCTAAATATTTCTATTTCTCTTGAGACAGAAATTGCTGCAGTGCTTTGTGATCTCCGAGAAAGATCTCAAACTTAAAGTCCTCTCTCTGTCTTTCTTGTGTCTCTCCGTAGCAGCACAGCCATGGCGAGGAAAGACATCCTGGAATCATCAGACTACTTTATGGCTGTAGCCGTCCTGTCAGCCCAAAGGAGCAAAGACCCAAGCACACAGGTGTGTGTGTAATGTGTATTGTGTGTGTGATTGTATTTTACCTTTGTTTCCCTTGCCTCCAAGATACATGAAATTCATGTTGTTTTTCTAGGCATCAGCTGTACAGGAAAAAATGTTGAGTCTTATTTTTACATATTTATTCTTATTGTTTTTTACGTATTTTTCTCATGTTATGTATCCAAAATGAGAACATACATATACTCGGTTTGACTCAGATTTGTAAGACTGGTATTTTCTAGTCTTACACTTGGTAAGAAAACAGTTTCTGTTGTATTATTTACAGATTTTGATGAGAGTTGTCAATGAGGAGATCCAGACAAGTGGAATTAGAGATGATGAGGTTTTTGGCACTGTGGCTTCGTAGGGTTGGGTACCGAACTTTGTAGTTTTAACGGTACTGACCAAATTATGAAGATACTAACGAATATGGATTCATGTCAAAGCCATTGGTGCCAAATGTTGGTACCTGGGAGCACATCTGTGTGAGAACGGCGGGTTTAGACAAGAAGGTGAAGTCTAGAAGCGAGCCATGGAGAACCAAGGCCAGCAACAGAGCTCTGCAGAGCCCCTTGGTTTTACTTCAGACAGGAGGCGGAAGCACAAGGAAGCCTGCTGCCCCATTTGGCTGCTCTTTCACCTTCCCAGTTCGCTCCTTTGGCTGCTCCTTTGGCTGCTCCTTTGGCTGCTCCTTTGGCCACTCCACTGGCTGCTCTGTTGGCTTCCCAGCTAGCCAAAACTATTGCTGCAGCGCTGATCTGCAGCGATAGTTTCTGATCTCAGCAGAGCCCCTTGGTTCCACTTCGGACAGGAGTTGGAAGCACCGGGAAGCCTGCCCCTTTGGCTGCTTTATCACCTTCCCAGATCACTGCACTGGCCGCTCCGTTGGCCACTCTGTTGGCCACTCTGTTGGCCACTTCGCTAGCCACTTCCTTCCCAGCTAGCCAAAACTATTGCTGCAGCGCTGATCTGCCGCAATAGTTTCAAATCTCAGCAGAGCCCCTTGGTTCCACAGACAGGAGGCGTAAGCAATGGAAAGCCAGCTGTCCCTTTGGCAGCTCTATTACCTTCCCAGATCACTGCGCTGGCCACTATGTTGGCCTCCCAGGTAGCCAAAACTGCAGCGCTGATCTGCACCTATAGTTCTGTGTTATTTTATCAAAGCCTAGTATCACTGTTAGACACACACACACACACAAGCAGACAAACAGACAGAGACAGAAGATTAGCTCTATGTGTCATTAGAGAAGAGCAGAGGAGCAGAACTGCATTTAAATATTACATTTTTGTAATTACAGAGAAAGTAAAGTATCAAAAAAAGGTACCATTGGGTAAAGGTATGAAATTCAAGGCACCAGAAAAACACTGGTATCGTTCAAGTATGAACACCTAACCCTGTGGCTTAGTGGTTAGCACTGTCACCTCACAACAAGGAGGTTGTTGGTTTACATCCACAGGCTGGTTGTGTTCTTTCTGTGAGCGTGCATGTTCTCCCCATACCTGTAAGAGTTTCTTGCCTGTAGATGTCAAACTGACAGACTTACAGCCTCAATTTGATCTGGAATCTATATTTTAGGGGGTAGTATGCTCTGCTGAAACCATCACACAATCACTTGGTGCACTAGACTTGTAAATGTTGTGTTGCCCATATAGTATCCTAATATGGATGCACATTCAAATTCCCATTTGCATAATGGCACAACTGTAAGAGGTTTTTATTACATTCAGTAGGTAAGATGTGCAGCACAGGGGACAGAGGCCCAGCGAGGCCCATAAGCTCTTACAACAGTCATTATAGCAGGTAAACAAAATGGAGGACACAGTTAGCATGAATCTAACTCTTAAATCCTCAAACAAACACAGCCGAACACTTTCAAAAGGATCCTCTCTTATACATATAGACGTGTATGTGTAAGAGACCATCATGGTTGAAAGAAATGGTGTTCATCACAAAGCAAACAGAATTTAAAGGTATCCTGTTTATGTCCAGGCCTTTCAAGTAGATATCGACCGATATATCGTCCGGCTGATAGGGGAGGGAAAAGCATGCAAGGCAATCAGATGTAGAGGCAGTACTTAAATTACTTACTTAACGCTCGGTGGCTAGGTCCCAATGAGGAGCCGGCTCCCATCGTTCACTTCAAAGAGCCGTTTCATTCGCGACCAACACATCACTACAGCTGGAGTATTGGACAGTGGCCAAATAAACAACACAGCTCCTGGGAGAGAACGGTAAGGCTTAAGTTTTGATCCGTCAGAGAACTGTATTTTTAATTGGTTACTTATTTGTATTGTTGCCTTAAACTTTGAGGATGAAAAATGCAAATGCCGAATGAGTGGTCTTTAAATATGCTTGCAACTGTATCGCTATCTTGCGAACTAGATTTTACACAGGCTAATTCTAGAGCTAGGCTAGAGAGCTAGCCTCAGTGAGTTTGTCAATATGCATGGGCACCACTCGCGGGATTAAATTGTAACCATATAATGCCAATTTTAGAGCAGAAACTCAAGCAAGTTGTTGAAATGCGTTGCTTAAGGTGCACTGACATTGACATTATTTTCTCATTCAAACTGCTGATTTTCTGACTCTGTTTTGGAGTTCAGTTCCTACCATAAAGGGTTTATCGGCAAAATTTACATGTCACTCAACTCTCACAATTTAGAACCTCTGACACATCTAAAAAGACAATGGGAGGAAGAATTGGGCACAGAACTTAGTGAGGATACATGGCACTCTGCATTAGATAAGATACACTCATCCTCAATTTGTGTAAAACATAAGGTAATACAATTCAAGATTGTACATAGACTGCATTGGTCTAAAGCGAGATTGGCAAGAATTACCCCAAATATGGATCCTAACTGTCTGACCAATCCTAACTGGCTCTGTCCAAAATGAATGGATTTCTGGCAACCTATATTCAAATTTTTTTCTGACTTGCTAGAAAGACCCGTAGAACCTCTTGCCATAATTGCAATATTTGGTACAGTCCCGCAGGATCTCTGTCTCAACCAACACAGCAAAGACATGATAGCCTATGCTACGCTCCTGGCTAGGAGACTTTTATTGCTTAAATGGAAAGACAGATCTCCTCCAACTTTCAGTCAATGGGTCAGAGAACTTCTGCACCATCTGACTTTAGAAAAAATCTGTTATGCCACAAGAGGCTGGGCCCTCAAGTTTTACACTATATGGCAACCAGTTCTAAATCAGGTAGAAAAGATAGATGCCTCAGATATTTCAAATGTACAGATATAACCCCTCCTCTTTTTTTGTTTCTTCCTTTTTTCCCCCCTACTTTTACCTTATTTGTGTTTTCTGTGTATTTATAAATTGTATATCACCACTGGACTTGTGAAGTGGATGTGTGGCGGTGCAGTAGGGTGGGGATGTTTGTGTATGGGTGGGATTGTGTTGAACTTTATTGAACTGCACCTCAAACTGTATTTGGTATTACTTAAATAACTAATAAAAACACTGAACAAAAAAACCTGCTGATTTTCAGCACACATACGGGATACATCTCACAGCTTCTTTGACAACGTTTCCTTTGCTAATCTGTTGTCTTTGCATAGAAGGCTGCGTAATAGGCCTAAACAAGGTTATTTTATGTAGAAAAAAGGGAAACTATGACACTCTTCTTTTATAAATTAAAGACTGCATTTCAATGACTATTTCTTATGGTTGATCGTTTTCTTTTTTACAATGGCTACATGAACATGAACATTAAAAGCATTAAAGATGAGTTGACAGTGAACCTAATTAACCAAACAGCCTATTTTATTTTACATTTTGTTGTGATAACCAGATCTATTTAAGATTTTTTAACTAATCTATTTGACTTGTAATAGTATCTACCAGCAAACAATTTATCATCAGGGCTGTTTTGGAGATGTTGATGACAGCCTTTTGTGCCTTGTACACTACTGTTACCATGATGCACCCATATAATGTGCTGGAGCAGCTCGCTGGCATTCTTAATGGAACTGAGCCGTCGTCAGTGCTATCAGTTTCACCTGTGGTTTTGCTAGGATGTCAAGTCAAAATGTCTGCCGTGAAAAAAGTCCATAGAATGAGTTTAACACAAAGGCACTAGACCAAAATAAACTGAATTTGTGTTTTTGTTTTTCCTTTGTTAAGCAATCCCCTGATGGCTGAGAAAACTGACCCTGTATGGCAGCACTTAGTAATATTTGCAGTATTTGACAGTTTCCATTACTTGTTCTCTACCTCTTGAAGATATATATATGTGTGTATGTATGTATATACAGTACAGGCCAAAAGTTTGGACACACCTTCTCATTCAATGCGTTTTCTTTCATGACTATTTACATTGTAGATTCTCACTGAAGGCATCAAAACTATGAATGAACACATGTGGAGTTATGTACTTAACAAAAAAAGGTGAAATAACTGAAAACATTTTTTATATTCTAGTTTCTTCAAAATAGCCACCCTTTGCTCTGATTACTGCTTTGCACACTTTTGGCATTCTCTCCATGAGCTTCAAGAGGTAGTCACCTGAAATGGTTTTCCAACAGTCTTGAAGGAGTTNCGCCACTGAATATAATCCAGGCAGCAATTACCTTTCCTTCATATTTGGGAAAACCTTCAGGAAAAACACATTATATAAACGTAATGGAAACTTTGGGGGTCGCCCACGGACATAAGAGTGGTATTGATTGTCTCATCTTACCCTCACTCAGAGAGCCTATTTCCCAAACTGTCAAACTATTCCTGCTGCACTAACACTTGATAGTTGTGGTAATGTGCATTTCAGGGAGACGATCCATATGTCTGATGGGAACCCCAAAGTAAGAACCCGCCATTGAATGTTGCACAAAGTGTTTATGGTTGCCTGTCATTTAAATGCCATCTTGACTCGGTTTATTTATATCTTGATCATTCCATGCGTGAGTGTGTGTGTATGTGTGCAAGAGTGAGAGCTACCATGATGACAGCCAATTAATTCAGCTCTTGGGGACTCGGCGAGGAGAAACAGTGACTCGCGGGCCGCATTAGTCATGCAGTATGGCAGCACTGGCATCAGGGAGCTCTCATACACTTTAAAGGTGACTCTGTGTGTGTGTATGTGTGTGTGTGTGTGTCCACATTTGTTGTTTGCCTCTACTGCTATCCTGTCATCCCTCCCTCACCCGTGGGGGCCCAGCATGAAACAGCCTCATGACTTAAGGATACCGTCGGCAGCGTTGAGTGCAGCCCGAGAAGCTGAGTGTCAAACTTCCAACAAAGCATTTAACAAGCACAACAGTGCACAGTGCTAACAGCTCGTTCAAAGACTATCGCAGAGTTTACCCCCTACAAGCACACAAACAAACAACTTTATTATGGTTGATGTAATGCTGAGTCAAAAGGGAAGTTTTTCCCTTTTTTTATTTTAGGTGCTCTGCAGAAAGCAGCAGTGTAGTGATATAATGATCACCATGAAGCGGGTCACAAGTCTGTGTACAAGTAATTAAAGGCTCAACTGTATGCCCGCTGTTATGAATGTGACTTGTCTATGCAGAATAGCAAGGGTGTTCAGGAAGGAATCTGCACTGAGACAAGGTGGGCAAAAGTGAAGGACAACCACATTCACACCCACACACACGTTACTCTGCTCATTGAATACCTTTCATACTCATTATCCATCAATGCTGACCATGAACAGCCTGTGTAACAGCTTGAAATGTTCTATTTTAATGCCACAGCCCGTCACAGGTTATACATTAGCCATTCAGTTAATTCTGCAAACCTCAGTGTGTGATAGTCGCCAAACTGTGCGGTGTCAGAGCATCTGCTTTATCTTCAAAAGTCAAGAGTGAGGGCATACTGTAGATGCTTGTCTGTGTTTCTTGTCGTCCAAGTGTGTAACACGACCTGCTGATGAGCTGTTGCACAGAATAAGTGAGTCATATATGTTTGTTTGTTTGTTTGTTTTCTCAAAAAGAGAGACTTGTGTGTGTTCAATAAAGTTCTTGTTATTTTTATCTAAAACTGACACTTGTGTACCCCTCATTGTTATTATTGTGACATTTCTAACATGCAAATAGAGGGAGAAAAACAATATCGGCCCCAAATATCGGCTCAAAAAAATCAGCAGTACATATCGGTCATCGGCTGAGGCTGATGGCAAAACATTGGTATCGGCCATAAAAAATCCATATCGGTTGACCTCTACTTTAGAGTGTGTGACATACTACTGAGGGTAGTGGACTACTGCAATTTATCTTGGATTAGTTCATGTGTAGATTAGATTATTTGATCATTTAAAAGGTTACGGCCAGACTAAACTGTTGAACATCTCTCCCTCTCTGCAGGTGGGGGCCTGTATAGTGAACCAGGAGAATAAGGTAGTTGGCGTTGGTAACAATGGCATGCCCAACGGCTGTGATGATGCCCAGCTGCCGTGGGCCCGCACTGCTGCTGACCCGCTTAAAAATAAATACCTTTACGGTGAGAACACGTGCAAACGCACTTCCAGCTTTTTTGTTGCTTTATTTTTGGATAATCATTTTGGTTAAGAAAATGTGCACTTGCAGCAAAGAGCTCCTGGTTTCATCCACAACAGCACAGAACCCTGTAGTGATTATACTGAATTGAGTGGGAGGATTTCTGGAATCAACATAATACAATTTTAAAGGCATCTCTGTGCAACAAAGACTGTGATTGACTAGTTGTCCATACTGTGCTGCAGTTCTCTTCATGTCTCAAGTGATAATCTTGGGCCTGTAGAGGGGATAAATAATGAAGGAATCTCACTCTTTCTCCATTGACTACATGCTCTGTTCACATTCTACTTTGACATTCTCTGTTTCTCTCTCTTCCCTTCCCCTTTAGTGCTCATGTAAGGGTGGGATATTAGGGCAAATAAGTAGTCTACATCTTTCTCCACTCATAATGAGCCCCTTCTTCTTATTTTGAGTTGTTTTTACTTTAAATGAACTGACAATTCCACAGAAAATGTCTAATGGTGATGCTAGAGGAAAGGTTACATCAGGATTCATCTGTCATCCACGAAAATGTTCTTATTTTCTTCTTATTTTCTGTGTTCAGGACATTTATGGGTGTGTAAAACCAAAAGCAAGAATAGGAGGGATGGATGGATGGACAGACTAAATTGAACAAGTAGTGCATA